TTTGGGAGTGGGGCCTCTAGGGTTTAGGATCAGACTCAGATGCCTTTGATCCTTAGAGGCCAACTGAACTCCTCAACGGCGAAGCCCGAAGAGCACTGTAGCCTTAAACCCGCAACGCTAAAGTCTCTGCGGTGAAGTGGACTCCTGTCTGTCCGTATGCGAACACGCAGAAGTTGTAGCCCTTCAGCATGTTCCTCAAGGGTTTAAGTCTTGTTTTGTTGTTGGGTTGGGTTTGGATTTACGGCCCTGTTCTGTACTTGGAGGTACATGGGCAGTTCGAAGTAGGGTTTTTAATCCCCTAACATGGGATTTATAACTATAGTTACCCTGCTTATAACCCCACTGCCTTCTAACCAGCCATGAACCTCCAAGTATGGTTCCGGGTTTCGGGCTGAAGTTCAATGATGGGAGCAACCCTAACCCCAAACCCTAAACCCTACACCCTAACCCCAAACGCCTAAACCCTAAACCCTAAACCCTAAACCTTAAACCCTAAACCCTAAACCCTAAACCCTAAACCCTAAACCCTAAACATAAACTTAAAACAGTTTGGGGGTCTGGGCCGGCTAGTGTCTGCAGGTAGCGTTGTTGCACCCCTATCTGGAGCTGTACCCTACAGTCCTTAATTCTTTCGAGTGAGATGTGGGGAGTCCTAAATCCTCTACTCTTTCCCCTAACCCCTAGACCCTAAACCACTGTGGGGACCGTACACCCTTCGGGCTTAGGGCTTTCGGGCTTAGGGGCCTAGGGTCTTAGGGTTGAGGAGCCTAGGGTCTTAGGGTTGAGGGCTTAGGGTCTTAGGGTTTCGGTCTTAGGGTCTTTGGGTTTCGGGCTTAGGGGCTTCGGGTCTAAGGGTTTCGGGTGATACCTCAGGCGGTACGGCGCAAAGAGCCGCAAAGGGAAGTGCGGAAGCCGTACAACGAGCACTAGTCGCGCATCGTCACGATAGTTGTGCACAAACGGCATCCTGCAAGGCAGACGACGCAGGCAAGATGGCAGATGGTAGCACCGCACGGGGATGGCTGGGAATCTGCATCAACAAACCCTGCCCTGAATGCCACCCAGGCCCAACAAACCCAACAGCAAGTGCGGAACCCAAACCTTAGACCCTAAACCCGAAAATAAAATCGCATTCCAGGCCCCGAAAGCCCTCAAGCTAGCAATCCACTTTGGCACTCAGTGCGGGCATGTTGGAACACAGAGTTCTTAGTGACGCACTCCAGACAAGGCTTCCCGATGTCACTGTTCACCTGGTCCTGGGCTTCGTCTCTTCTCGGTTTAGGGCTCAGGGGGTTTAGGGAAGTTTTAGGGTATGTCCTCATTTCTTTTCGTGCCTGTACGGGTGTCATCCACCATCTTCTGGCTGCTATGATCCGTTGTACTGTAGGAGTTGAATGTGACGATGCGTGACGGGTGATGAAGATGATTGAGATGAACATGAGGACGAGGTGACCATGATGATGGTGATGATGATGATGGTGGTGATGATGATGATGATGATGGTGGTGATGATGATGATGGCGATGATGATGATGATGATGATGATGATGATGATGGTGATGATGGTGATAGTGGTAATGATTCTGATGAGGAGGGGGAACCGGAGGCAGGAAGCAGCGGGATCGCGGCCTCTTCGGTCTACAGTCTAGACCTAGCCAGTAGCGAGTTCCAGAGATTCATGCGATTGCTTTTTGACGCTCTTGGCTCTTGGCATTCTGAACTAGGCTAAAGCAAGCCACCCTCCCGAAATCCCTAAACCATGAAACCCCGGCCCCACACAGAAAGAAACCAAAAAAAGAAAACAAGGCCAGCGTCCGAAGCCCAAGCTGAGATTCACCCTAAACCCTAAACCCTAAACCCTAAACCCTAAACCCTAAACCCTAAACCCCAAACCCTAAACCCTAAACCCTAAACCCTAAGACGGGCTACTGGGATTCAAAGTTGAGGGCGGGCTGAGGCTTCCAGGCCTGGCTGGCAAAGTGCACGTCCTTCGAGCTCACGCTCCAGTAAGCGTGGTCGAACCTGCCATGGAAAACGTTGACTCTTGTTTTTGGGGTATAGGGTTTAGGGTTTAGGGCAACTTGCGCCCCGCTTTTTTGCCACCCGCAAGCAACTTTTGGGTCATCATCACTCCCCTCCAGTCTCGGGCCATGGCTTTCCAGGGCCCTTTCTGGATCAAGACTCTCTCAAAGTGACGAGGCCCCCTCCGGCGCTGGTGCTCCGCAGGAGCCTGGGTCTAATCCTGGCGGAATCCCACTGATTTATCGGTTTAGGGTTTATGGTTTAGGGTTTAGGGCTAAACCCAGCGCTCTCGATAGAAAGAGGGCGAGAAGAAGGCTTGAAGGACAATGGCTGCCGACAAGCAGAGGCTCCTGCTCAGGACGTGCAAGCGGCCTTGCAAAAATTCTGTTGGGCTTGGGACCCCCAGAGCTATCACAGTACTTGTAGTAATGCTGGGTAGGGTGTTTCTCCTTCCAATTCTCCTGGTACCAGTTGTAGCCGCAGGTTCCCTCGCAGCCCAGTTCGCAGGTGGGCCGAGAGATCAGCCCTGCCGCGCCTGCGCAGACTTCTCTGCAGTCGTCTTGCTGAGCCTGGGATCCTCCACAACACCCACAGTACTTGTGGACATCACGAGACGGCGAGCCGTTTTGCCATTGACTCTGATACCAGTTGTAGCCACACTTGCTGCAGCCTAGCTGGCACTCCACGTGCTTCAGCCCGACTGCTTGATCCATTGAGCCAACGAGTTCGCCCGAGGACTCGACCAAGTCGACACGAAAGTGGCCGGTGACATGAAAGACCTTGCCATTTGCATAGACGCCGTGCTTGAGTCCCACACCGCGCTCCAGGAGACACTCCACTGTTTTCTCGCTCAGTTTAGTCGCTAGCTTCGTCGCTAGCTTAGTGACAGCACTGGCACCAGCCGTGATCGCGGCCAGAGCAGCGTCACCAAGCACACCAACGATCGGCTACGCCACACTCCAGCCGTTGAAGAGCTCGGCCCTGCCAAAGTTAGCTTGTGCCCTCACGGTGAACCACAAAACTCCACAATAGGCACGCCATCGCTGCCCAGGTTCCAGGACGTTGACATAGCGCAGAGGAGACCTGTTCTAAGGACACTGCCACAGGGAAGCTGGCCTTGTTCACGAAATACATACAGGGCCCTGCAACTGTCTCATTGCCCTGGCCCTTAGAGCTTGCACCCTCAGTGACAAGCTCTCCATCACGATCTTCTCGCCGGAAAGCGCCAGCACACAACAAGAACAAGCTCAAGATCTTAGCCCTAAACCCTAAACTAAACCCTAAACCCTAACCATGGGGCGTCGGGCCGTCAGACTTTCGGGTTCGAACCGAGTCGGCCAAGTGGACGGTGACAAGAACGACCAAGCATGTTCCAAATAATGTAGGGGTCTTCATGATTAGAATAGGGCCTTGGGGGATACTATAGTACAGTTATACTAAGGAACCCCCAAAATAGTATTGGTAATTACCCAGGCCCCTGTATTACGCAGCAAAAGTGCTGATTGGTTTCTACCGCACAACTCTTCGAGGATCGTTCTGGATCAAGACCAGATTCTCTCAGAGCGATGCCGCCCGCCCCACGTGTTGGAATACCATGCTATCATCTGTCTCCGGTACCTAGCATGAGCCTGAATCTCTTCTTGGCCGGGTCCTACTGAGAGCCCAGTGCTTTCGATGGGAAAGAAGTACAACAATAACACAAGACGTAACAGCAAAATGGAGATGCTACTAGAACTCATGTGCCGCTGCAAAGTTCAAAAGGAACAGCACATGCCGTCGTCAACATGGCAAATAAGGCAGCAGTGGAAACACGACAAAGGATAGTGCCCCGCATATGCAGCACCCCAACTAATTGACCCGAAAAAACCCTAAACCCTACACCCTAAACTCTAACCCCTTATATAACCCTTAAGCCCTAAACCCAAAGCCCTAAACCCAAAGCCCTGAGCCCTAAACCCTTATATAACCCTTAACCCTCAAGCCCTAAACCCTAATCCCTGTAAACCCTAAATGAAGAGCGGCACCCAAACGTTCGATGTTGGTTCGCGTGCACCACCGAGACGGCCTTGAGCTGGAATTTTGGGGTTTCAAGGTTTAGGGCTTAAGGGTGCCTTAGGGCTTAGGGGCTTAAGGTTTCGGGCTTAGGTTTTAGGGCTTCAAGGTTAAAGGCTTAAGGGTGCCTTAGGGTATTGGGTTGAGGGGTTTAGGGCTTAAGGGCTTAAGTAGGGGTTTAGGGTTTAGGGTTTAGGGGTTTAGGGTTTAGGGGTTTAGGGTTTAGGGCTTAAGGTGCCTTACGCTTAGGGGCTTAGGGTTTAGGGTTTAGGGCTCAGGGGCTTAGGGTTTGGGGGTTTAGGGCTTAGGGGTTTAGGGTTTAGGGGTTTAGGGCTTAGGGGTTTAGGGTTTAGGGGTTAGGGTTTAGGGGTTAGGGTTTAGGGCTTAGTGTTTACTGCTTAAGGGTTTAAGGGTTTAGGGTTTGGGGTTTGGGGCTTAAGGGTCTTAGGGCTTAGGGTGGGTTTAGATTAGGGCTTAAGGCCACTTCAAGCACGGTAAACTTTAAACTTACAAGCCCGACTCGCAAAAAATGCCCAGGCTTTAGACATTAGGCTCTTCAACGACCGAAACCCAATACCTCTGAACACACCCTACTGCTCATGATGTAGATCCTGCATCCCTCAACCATGGGAATTATGGTATATATAGTATATTCCTGGGTAATGCAGGATTGATATCATGAACCCTATCATCCAAAGCCCCCAATCCCTGACACATGTAGTGGCTCACGTCTTGGAACCCCCAAAACCCTAAACCCTATCCCTCCGCCTTGTTCGTCCGCTCGTTCGAAGTGTCCCGTGTGCTGCCGGCCTGCGCTCGAGCTGCTATGCAGCTGGGAAAAGGTCGGCCTGAAAACGCCCAACATTTAAATGTCGAGCTCAAAGTTGAAGCACACCAGAGTTGCACCAGTGACTTCCATCTCTCCCTTACTGCGCAGCACCGGAAAGCGAGCAAAGGACCGCATCACACGCGGCATCAAAGGCAGTTATGCGGTAGCGAGCTTGTGTGCCCAATTCTGTCAAGAGCAACTGGGCAGCCACCTCCTGCAGATAATACTCCAAGGTTCGTACGCGGGCCCATCGACCGCGCCACGCCAGCCACTGCACGTTTTCTGTAGCCTGGTAGAAGAAGGTAGCTCCTGAGCCTCGAAGAACTCCAGGGGTCGCTCCCTTGACGATTGCCCGACAGGGGATGCCCAGAAACTGAAGGCCAGCATCCCACAACTTGCGAAAGGAATGCATCGAGCCCGCAAAGAGGCGCTCATGTGGAGCGAGCTTCCCAAATAAGGCTTCCAAAACGCGAATCGCAATTGGGTCGTCGATTTTACCATGCTGACGTCGGGCGAATCTTTGGGTTTTAGGCTTACGTAAATGAACGTACAAGGCACGAGTATGTCCAAGGGCATCGGAGGGGAAGACCAAGTCCTTGCGGATGAGCTGCACCATCTCCGTCGGGTGCAGCATCGCCAAGAAGCCAACGAGCACCAGACCAGACCAGCGCAACCAGCCCCACAGAGCTGTGACGCACAGCAGCGCGCGGACGGCCGCTGCGGGAAGTACCGGACGGCACTCTCCGGGCTCAATGTCCTGCCACTTCTTATCTACCTGCCAAGCTGCGCTGAGGCGGTTGCGGTAAGATGGGCAACGGTTCTGAATGGCCGTAATCGCATACACCAGCAAGTATCTTGGGTGACCCTCTGCATACAAGTGAAGACCAAATCCTCTAAGTGCAAGCTCAGCCCCTTCGTTGGTGCTTAACGCTTCTTCCAGGCTCAGGTGGGCAACCTCGAGTAGCCAGAGCTCCAGAGCTCCGAGAGCTTTGCGCATCTTATGCACTGTGCTGGGCACGAAGCCTTGCTCAAGGTCAAGGGGCCCTCTGGGGGTCTTCGCAGTGATGCGAGGACCAGGGTTTCGCTCGATATCACCACCCAGCAGGAGCAAAAATCTCAGCCAGCGAGCTGGGATTTTCTTTAGGCAAGAAGCTTCGACGATTAAGTCGAATGAGCGCCAGTCGCCGGCCAAGAGCTGCAGCAACCATCTCGGGACCTGTCGGGTTGGAGCAAGCACAGCACGATCCCTAGAAGGCTCGTCAGCTCGGTTGTCAGCCGACCTACAATGCAGCAAACCGGGGTAAATCCCAGACCCTATGATGTAACCCAGGGACCCGCTAAGCACCCGCGAAATGGCAAAACTGGAAGACCTACCTTTCGCAGCTGCACCTATGGTGACTCGGGAGTCTAACAGAGCTACGGCACGCTGAGGGGAAGGGGACTTAGCTAAGGCCTTAACCCAGCTCTTAAACACTCTAGCCTCATTGACATTGATGTGCCCTGGATGCTTGAAGTTGTATCTGAAGAGCTCTCTGAAGGGCAGTGACGAACAAATTTCAGAAATCCATTCGGGATCCTCGTGCCACTCCCGGCGCGGGTATGGCTCGCAGGCCGCTGGGCGGCAGGTAATGCTTGCATCCACAGTGATCCCGAATCGAGTTCGCGTGGCGGCAACCGCCTCCTGTGGCAAAGGCTCCCAAGCACCCGTTCGGGCTGCAAACGACCCTGAAGCTAGTCTCCTAGCAAGTGGCAGAGGCAACGCAGAGGCAAACGACCTGATACTATCGCCAACCCTAGGCTCAACCCCATAAACCGTAAGACAATCGGGCCTACACCTAGCCTTAAACGACAGGGCCGAAGCCTCGTCAAAGCGAACTCCCGCAGCCCAGAAGTGCTGGCCCGCGAGTTCGCAGTTGCAGCCGCCTTGTAAGCGTGCGACCCAGAATTTGTTGTGCAGCCAGAGAACTCTTTTGCGGAACGGTGAACCGAAGTTGCAAAAGCAAAAAGTGGTAAGAATACATCCCACCTGAGCCAGGGTGCGAAAGCAGTGCATGTATATCAGCTTTGAACCAGCAGGTTGCTGCACCGACACGTACTGCCCACAGCTGAGCGCGGTTGCCAAAATCCGAACCACGACCCGAGCCAAACGGTTGTCAGCAGCTGTTTCCTTTTCGCAGCCGCTCACGCCAGCCGGCATGAGGGCAGTGCGCTGCCGAGGCCGCTTCAAGGGGCTGTAGGTGGAGCCAGTCAACGAGACATGCCACTCTCGTACGACTCGACGAGCCGCCAGACCGATCAGATCACGTGCAACAGCTTTTCCGGACAAATCGGCCAGCAGCGAAGCTCCATCGCTTGAACATGAAAGCGGATGCAGGGTTAGACCGAAGCTGCCGAGAGTCTGAGCCCAAGACCCTGAACCTCCTATCTCGATGCAGTCGTAAAGGCAACCCTCCTGCAGCGGACGACTTAACGAGACGGGTCTGCGAACAGTCTGAACAGGAAACTGACAGGTCTCACCAGGGTCGCCAAAACGATCCTCGCCAACGTGTTCAACCCCATGCTCGGCCAACGTAGCTGCAGCAGGAGAAGCAAGGCGAGTGTAGTAACCCCTCTGCTCTGCATGGCGCCAAAGCTCGGACGCAGCAGAACTGCCTACGGTAGTGGCGCAAATAGCACCAGCCCAAGGGCTCGCGTCAAGTGCGTAGAGGCTCGGATTGTAAGAGGCCCGCAAATCGGCTTGCCCTAAACCCCCAAGGACGCTCAAGAGGAAGAGCTCATTACGGGCCTGAGGGGAAAGCGCAAAGACTTCTGTCCTTTTGAGACCTGCACCCTCTCGGAAAAGGGCCTCAATAATGCAGAAAAGAGGCCTCCGGAACAAAAGCACGTGAACCCATGAACCCACTAAGCTGTCCAACAGTTCGGGCGAAGCAGCTCCACAGTGAGCAATCCAACTCGAAATGAAGCTTAAGGCTAAAACCCTATCCCTGGGAGCAGAGACGACTCCAGCGACGCCATCAAGCTCAGCGCCCAAAACGACTCCTGAAGTCAACCCCTTTTTGTCCTTCTTCACGTTACGGTGAAGGCCCACACTCTCGTAAGCGGAGCAAGACAGTTCGAAGACTTGTGAGTCACGAGCGTGGTGTTCGGGGCTAATGGCGGTAAGCGGCAGCCTCTGCAAAGAGATATGATCATCAATAGCCAGAGCTTCAACATGAGAAGTGCGCGGGACAGGAGCGCGATATCTCAAGACTTCGCTCTCTAACATGGACCCACAAGTCTGTTGCAAAAGACCAGTGTGTGCAGATTGAGCGACTTCTACTGACAGTGCGTCTCCCATCGCCATGGTGCCTAAACCTATCATCAGCGGTTCTTTAAGACCCGAACCCACAGAAGAACAACCCGCAAGGTCGGCATGACTAAAACGAGCCCGAAACCTATTCCGCAAAGCCCTGGACTTGGAAATGCGGAAGCTATGGTAGAAGTCGGACAAATCCGCTGCATAGAACCTCCACCCCTCGTGAGGCTCGGCATGCAACAACGTCAACATCCAGCCCGGAGTCAAAGCTTTAGCCGCATTAGAATAACGGAAGGACCGGGAATTGACGACCGTAGGGTTCATGATCAATCTATCCCACTCGTTATCTTTACGAATGCTAAACAAGCCAATCTCCTCGTCCCTAGGGAGGTGAGCTGCTTCTGACTCTTCAAACACAGCTAAGGCCTGATGTTGATCAAGCACCCGAGCTAATGCAAGCAATTCGCTCCTGTCGGCGTGCACGAGTGCAGGCCGCGTGGCAGGCCAGGCTTCGCGTGGCATGCGTAGGAGTTCTGGGTTGAGAAAGGCTTCTTTGAGGAACCTATCGCTGATGAACGGCAAAGGGTCGAAATCAGGGGAGTGTTTCCACTTAATGCGGGAAGCAGTGACTTTCAAGCTTGTCAACCCAGCAAGGGTCGTGGTACAGCGAAGAAGCCCTGCGGCACCAGAAACTGGATCAGAGCCCAAGGCCTGGGACCTGTGTTTATTCTGATGCGAGTCGAGGTTGGGATCGACAGCCACAGGTCCCGCAGGGCAACTACCAGGAAAAGACGTGCCCTTCGCATGACCATACTTATCGAATCCCTCAAACATGCTATGAACTAATTCAGCAACGGAGTCCACGTCCCTAAACCCGCAGTCGAGCTTGGGCAGTTCTCGAACGATGCTACAGAAAGATGCAAACTTTGGCCCACAACGGCCAAGCGCCTCAGGCAGAAAGCTAGGGCAGCGCAGGTAGCGCGTGACTAGCCCTTCCAAGTGATCAATGACTTTGTGCTGCTGCAAGGAGATCGGGGCACCGAGCTTAGCGCTGGGCGGGCAGCTCTTAGGGTATCCTAGAGTCTTCCAGTTGAGGCTGCAAATGATCACCTGGAGAAGCCGAGCACGGGTGCTGTGGAACAGCCGCTTACGCTTGGCCCTTTGGTTGCGAGCTCGGCCGTGCCATCGCCACTGGGGTGGGGGTGTCGGCCATAAGTCACTCTGGGGAGTAACTTGCATGGGGCGGACGGGGTCCCTAAGGGAGGCCCTAACAAAACAACTAAGACCCGAAAAGGAGCTAAAGAAAAACCCGAGGGTCTGGGAAACTAATTTGCAAGGCTCAAGAAAGATGTTACTAGTCGGGTCAAAATCTGGTAGTGAGGCCGCGCCGGCATCACCAACCGAAGCACCACTTGCGGGACGCAATTCGGCAGGCAAACCCGACCCTTTACAAACCTCACCGTCCTCACCACCAGACCCCGAAACCTCGAAACGGCCTTGCCTCATGCACTTGCCGAGGCTTTCGCCTTGGGCTTGCGCCGCGGCTTCCATGTCGAAGCGGCGGCTGCTTCGGGATCGGCCTCCTCGGTCGAGGACCGGCGCTGTGCATCCTTGCCCAGATTGGACATCCTCGTCTCCAAATAATCTAAATCGCGTAGATATGCGATATTGCCTGCAATCCACGACGGGTGCGCCAAACTGCTGAACGGTTTGACCCCGCTCCGGCGGGTGTTGAGCCACATCGCTGGAGGAGGCTCTGCAAAGCCGCCCAGCAGCCAGGCGAGCTGTAGCCTCCCTCCGTCGAGGGAAGCCTGCTCGCAGAGCATGGCCAAACGAGCTGCAAATCCCTGGAGCTGCCTGTTCTGCAGACGGTGCCCGAGTTCCCATCCCTCGGCGGCAAAGCTGGCTATGTACCCTAGGGTCTTTAGGTTGGCTAGAGGCATCCGACGCTCGACGAACAGCTTCAGCAGATTTGGTTCCGCTGAATCCAGCCCTAGTTCCCTGAGTGCGTTCGTCTGGGCAATGTCTGCGACTCGCTCCAGATCCTGCACCTGACGCAAGAACGCATCGCGAGCCATGCAGCCCCGGACGCCTGAGTTCTCGCCGCTTCCGCTGGCCGAGCCGCTTCCGAGGGCGGCAGCCACTGAGTCCAAGCTCCGCTGAGGAGCAAGCCGTTCCATCATCAATTTTGTCTGCTCGAGCTGCGCGGCTAAAATCTGATGTAACGGATTCTCCGAGGTAGCTTCCGCGAATGGGTCCTCTGCCTCGGCTGCCGGCAGAACCTCGAGCTCGGTCTCGCGATGGATGGTGTCTCCAGCGCGCATCGCGGGAGGAGCAGCGGCTGCCTTGGGAACGCGCTTGGGCGCAGGGCCTGCCAAGGAACGAAGTCGAGCAAGCCCGTCGGCATCCAACCCCCCGGCAGGAGGGGCACGTAGCAAGCCGGGACCCCCCAAACCCGGGGCAGGAGTAGGCGCGACTCCCGTTCCCACTCTTGACTCCAACTGTTGCAGCCGAGTTAGCAGCTGCTCTGTCACGCTTGCCTGGACTGGCTCCAGCTCGGGCGCCTCCTCGTCGACGACGGCCTCCTCTCCGGCGAACTCCTCCGCGGTCAGGTACTCGGCAGCGGTCTCGGCGTCCATGATGTTCCGAATCCAAGTCGCCGCCGCGGACAAAGCACTGGCGGTACGAGGCCTCCCGGAAGTAGAACCGACGTTGAAGGGGAGCACTCGCACTTCGCGAGCTAGAGCACCTCTTGCGGGATGAACTGCGGTGAAGGCCCCGACCCCTTCCCAAGGAATATCGGCCATCACAACGGTCATTGTCCCCAAGCTGCGGCCACGAATGGTCTCCATCTCGACTTGGGCTTCGGAGTCCAAGACCACTGGGTCGCCTTCCTCGGAGACAATGTTGAGCAGGACCTCGGTGATGCGCTCGTCTACGGGGAGGATCACTAAGAACCCTCCGGGCCGAATCTTCACCAAGGCTGCTCTTGCCAAGCGAGCTTGCTCGTCGTCGCCATCGGAGCTCAAGATCAAGTGCAGCGTCGGTAACGGGCGGTCTGGCTGCAGCTGCCCTGCCAAACGTTCCACAGCGTCTCGGGTGCATGGGGTCCTCAACGGGACTCCGGCCATTGTCGTCCGGCTCCTCGAAGATACGCCTCACCTTCAGCTCGAGTGGCGAAGGAGTGGCTGATTGTGTCGTCGTAGAAGATATGTCCGGGGCCGAAAACGGCTCGTCGATACACCTCGTAATCCGACGTCCAGAAACTCGAAGGGAACTGAGGACACCGAAGTACAATGTACAGGCTGCTGCGGAACGGAACTGAAGGGGAGCTCTGCACGTGGGTTCGCAGCCCTGCTAGCTTCTGCTGAGCCGTGAGACCCGCCCGATAGGCTCTGGCAATCCTAGCCGCTGGGGTCCAGATCGAGTGCCTTGCACGAAGCTGGCGCACTAAATCACTGAGTTCTGGAAGAGGATAAGCCGCAAGGTCTCCTGCGGAGGATAAATCGAGTAATGGATGCTCGGCACGAGGCTGAGCCCTGGCTGAAGCCGAAGAGGCTGGAACCACTGAATAACCGGAATCCTCCACCTGAACAGTGGGCAAAGTCCGACCTCGAATGGCAACCTCAAGGGCCCCGATTCTCACCGTGATTTCCTCGATGTCGTCCTCGAGCCCCCTCTCACTCATGCACGGTGCAGCTGGTACTGTGCAAGCCTCTCCCGAGCCTGAGCTCGATTGACCCCTTGAGGAGTGACGTAAGCACTCACCAAGGATCCTGCTCCCGCCCAAAAAGCTCGACGGAGGGGAGGCAGCGTACAGAAGCCAGTCAGCAGAGCCCCACAGCAGCAGCCGCAGCAGAAGAGAATGAGCCCCAGGAAAAGCAAAAGGCCCCAGGGGCAATTATAGCAGAACCCGGAAGGAAAAGATCGTTGGGCGAAATCGGCACCGAATGCAAGGATGCTAGGCAACCACTCACGCATGTGGGGCTCGATCCCAAAAGCTGAGCATCTCAGTCGCTACTCACTGCAGCTAGGGATAAGAAGCAAACCCTTTAACCCTAAGCCGGGAACCCCGAAGCCTAAAGATCCCTAAACCCTGCACCCCAAAACCCTAAACCCTAAACCCTTAGCCCTGAACCCCTAAACTCTAAGCCCTCTAAGCCCTAAACCCCGAAACCCTAAACCCTGAAACCCTAAACCCTACACCACACCCTCGAATCTAGGCCAGAAAGCCCTGCGCCCTTCGGCCGAACCCTGAGGCTCCATGTAGCATCGAAGATGTAGTTTAGGGTTCAGGGTTTCGGGGTTTAGGGCTTCGGGGGTTTAGGGCTCAGGGTTTCGGGGTTCAGGGTTTTGGGGTTTAGGGCTTTGGGTTTAGGGCTTAGGGGGTTTGGGGTTTGGGGTTCAGGAGTTTAGGGGTTTANNGGGTTTAGGCGTTTAGGGCTTGAGGGCATGATATTCTGCAGGATTTCGGGCTTAGGATGTCTATAACATGTAGGCCTGAAAGTACTCACACAGGGACCCCTTCGAGGCCGGAGTGCCAAGTAAAAACTGTGTTTTTGAACCCCTAAACCCCTAAACCCT